TACAGTTACAGGGTCAACGACAAATAGTTAGGAAAGAAAAAGAACCCCCCCCTTCTCACACTGTAACAGTAACATTACCTACAATGAGCATGTGTCACCATATTGCCGGTTATTGACAATCACACACAGGTGAGTTTATGTCTTGTCTACTTATAAATACATAAATCATCTCTGGCCTTATTGCCAATACATGCTATCATATATATTGCAGCTTGGGTTTTGCTGATGTCTCCCTGTGTATAAACCCCTAGGTAGAACACTTAATGCCAGTGCTTTTCTCTCTCTCTCATCCTCATCTTAGAGTCTTCACAGACTTATAAGACAATTCTTAAGCCTTCTTACTTGCCTTGTGTCTAGTCAACACAGGTAAGTTTATTGCCACATTTATATTTCAACATCTTGTGCTATATTGTTCATGCCCCATGTCAAAAACTTAAGAAACTACAGTGGATATTTCTACACAATTGACCCATTCTTCTCTGATGAAAATTTCTTGACAAAGGTATGTTACATTGAGAATACCTTGCTTCTTTGTTAACTCAGTGCCCCAAAGATATGGTATTCAGGCACATACACCATACAGACAAATACTATCCCTGCCCATACTGGTAGGGAGTATCCTACCTCATTGCCAGGTTTGCATTTCTATCTACCTAAATATTCACAGGAATTTATGCTCATGGTTCACACAGGGTAGCTTAACAACAGGACATCAGGTATTGCTGGGCCCATCCTCGTCGACGGTGCTAAGCGTGATCAGTAAGTGTTGTTGGATTTCAAAGCACACACTTTGAGGCTTATATTCACCAGGACTGTCTGGGCAGGTACACGCTTTCCTGTTCGTCACAGAATCCCACTTGATACTAACGCCTCATAATACAGGCGATATGGGCGTATCATTGCCTACAGGATTCGTATCCACGAACGATCTCTTTCCCGCGCGCAATTCACTCTCAACGTCACTTTCTCTTCAAGATCCAACGACTGGTGCACTTCCATTTGCTGGCCCGCCTGTATACGGATATGTTAGCGACACTTACCATGCTTGGACGCTTCTTGGTGCATACAATTATTACCTGTATTCCGGCGATATCACATGGTTGCGGACTTCCTGGAACAACTATACGAAAGCGGTTGCATATTTAGCCAACAAGGTGGATAGCTCAGGCTTGCTAGATGTTACAGGGATCGAGGATTGGGGGCGCCTCTGGCAGGGTGACTATAATTCAGAAGCGAATGCGATATACTACAAGGCTAGCAGTTGGCTTCTGCACGTGTACCATGAACATGTCTAACGTTTTGCGACTCTAAGCTGTTGACAAACAGTGTCGAACTGGCAGGATATATGAATGACTCGTCTCTCGCAGCAACTTATGCCAATAACGCTTCCGCGCTCAAGGCGATGTTCAACGAGAAATTCTGGCTGTCTTCTGCGGGCATGTACCGCAACAATTTAACGTCGACAATGTGCCCCCAAGATGCCAATTTGTTCGCGGTGTTATTCAGCCTGACTACATCCGCCGAACAGGCATCTTCTGTTAGCGAGGGATTGACAAAAAAATGGGGTGCATATGGCTCCGTATCCCCCGAGCTTCCAGAGACTGTTGCGCCCTTCATCGGCAGCTTCGAGGTAGGACGCATACAATCACCCTTTGTCTGTGATTGACAAGGGCATAGATCCAGGCGCATTTCTTGTCTGGAAACGATGCCCGCGCTATGGAACTTCTGCACCTCGAGTGGGGTTATATGTTGTATACCCCGCTTAGCGTCCAATCGACGCTGCTCGAAGGATACACATCGAACGGATCGCTCTAGTCAGTTTTGTATACCTTCCTTTTTCTTCGACTTAAGACCTTCCATACAGCTACCGCTCATACGACGGATACAACTATGACCCGTCATACACGAGCCATTCGCATGGATGGAGCACAGGCCCAACATATGCATTCACGTTTTACGTGCTCGGCCTCACGCTAACCTCCCCCATGGGTCAGACATGGTCCGTAGCACCTCATACGTCTGGATTATCATTCGCTCAAGGCGGGTTCGAGACTCCGCTTGGGTGGTTCGGCGTAGAATGGAAGTCTACTGGGAACTCTTTTACTATCGCGCGAACGATGCCGGAAGGAACCAGTGGAGTGGTGGTGCTTCCGATAACGGGAACGATCACTCTGGATGGGAATGCTGTGCAACAGACTGGGATGCTATCAATAGACGGAGGGAACCATACGGTTTCTGTACAGGAATAAACCTAGTTTTCAAGGATACAAACATTCCATGACCTGACACTAGCGGTCTGTTATACCGATTCGTGCACGCAAGCAATACATCCCATGCGGCTGAGCTTATAGTGTGACTTCTGCGAACATCCTTTCCATGTGGTCTTCTGCGGACCTGGCTGCAAATTCAAAAAGTTTGATTGTGCTGTCGTCTGCCGTAGTGACAAGCTGCTTATTGTCTGGTGAGAAGCACATGCGAGTCACATTGTCAGAATGACCCGTCAACCTTGCAAGGCGCTTTTGTATTTTCGTGTCCCAGATGTAGACCGAACAGGTTGCCCCAGCAGCAACAAGTGAAGCGTCCGGTGAGAAAAGAGCGGTGTTGACAAGCCCACTCTCAATGGTACCACTCTCAATCGTTGCCAGTAGATCTCCGCTGAACGAGTCGCATATTTTAGTGTCCCCCTCGCTCGTGATCGCCAGGATCTGTTTCCCGTCGCCTGAAAACGCCGCCGACAAAACCGGACAAACGTACTCGCACAGAATCATGAAATTCTGTCCCGTTGCGACGCCCCAGATACGCACAGATTGGTCGTCAGACGCGGTGGCGAGACGACGGCTGTCAGGGGAGAACGCGATGGAGTTTATCAGGCCATCGTGACTGCCGAGTCTGTGCAGGAGTGAGCCGTCCTTCATGTCGAAGATATGCGCGAAGGAGTCTGTGCTAGTTGCGAAACGTGATCCATTGGGAGAAACTGCGAGAGAAAGGATCATCGAATCATGCTTCTGGGTAGCAGCGCGCAAGCTGCCGGCAGGTATATCCCAAAGTCTAACAATGAAGTCGCCGGAAGCAGAGACCAGAGTCTTTCCGTCTGATGAATAGGCGATCGAATTTACAAACTCATCGTGGCCTAGCCGTTCAGACCGCATTCCATTCATTACGTTCCAGATGATTACTGTCCCACCGAAGGAGGCAGCGGCCAATTCCTCGCCATTGGGAGAAAACGCAAGCGCATAGATCTCCCCTTCACCGGCTTGCAATACCTGATGCGATTGACGAGAAGTTGTATTCCAGATGATGATAGTGGATTCGTCGTCCTCGAATCCGGCGGCCACGAATCGACTATCTGAAGAGTAAGCCAAAGCATATACACATCCCCTCGGATTTTCATGTGGCGGCGGTAACAAAGTATCATCCTCTGGCCCCATCCTGGTGCGCGCGGTCCTCCACCTCATATCACCAGAATCGTACTGGGTATCATCCTGATGCACTGTAGGCAGTCCAGCCGCATGTTCTTGTGACGGGTTGGCACCACTAGTAGATGCACCATTCGTAGGCGTCAGCGACTCAACAGTCCGTGTGTGTTCAGTTTCCTCGTTAAAATTGTCGTCGTCAAAGGCCAGCATGCCGACTAGTCGAAAATCAGTTGTATTTACTCTAGATCACCCATGGAGGATTGACGTACATCCATCCGCTGTGACTTCAATCGGTGGCTGGATGCTCTTCAAGAAGGCAGGAATATCTTCGGGGATCTCAATGCCCTGAGTGTAACAGTCTGTGTCTGGAGCATAATAAAGACAAGCTCGAAACACACCTTACACAATTGCACAATATCATGATCACTAGCAATTGCAGTCTCCACTTCCGGTTGGAACTATTGTGATACGCGAGTTTTATATGCAGATACTGATATAGTACTGCAGAAAGCACTCACCTCAAGAATATAGTCTAGGACGAATTTGACAGGGTCATATGACTATGAAGACATCAACACATACTACCAAGTTGTCTAATATATATATATGCACCTTCTGTGGTGCTGGACCTTGTTCCACAACATACCCATCATTATCATTATCATCATCTGGCCCTAAGGATGGATCCTGTGGTTCTGCCGCAGCTTTAATTACAGCAGGAGATCTGAAACCACGCAAACGTTTCTTCATCTTGTAATAGTGTAGGAAGATACACTGGTCTGCCTTGAGAGGTCCGACTTCAGGATTATGATCACTGTCAACCACAGTAGAAGCTCCACCATCCATCTTAGTATTTGGGCCTCCCTTCCGCTTTCGTCCGCCAGATTGCGTACGATGTGGCTGATCGCTAGATCGTCTGGGACCTGCACGATGTGCACAATTCGCAAGTGTACTCTCTGTTCTCCCGGCTGATAGAGTGAACGAAACTTCTGCGGGTAAAGTGAAGTTGCCATTGAAGGAGATTTTCGTCTTCTTCCCTCCATTGAGCACAGACGACACCGCCCACTGGGTCGTCTTCACAAAGCCATAGATAAAGAGAATATCCTCAAGATCGATATCGAGTTGCAGAACGTCTGTAGCGAAAGCATACCAACTTTGAATATTGGCCTTCATGTAGTCACTTATCTTCCGCACACTTTTGAGACTCTCCCTAGCCGCGTCATGCTTCAAAATTAAGAGTGCGCCTTGATCCTCGTTGCATTCAAAATGAAATCCCAATCCTACTCCATGTCTAAGAGGGATGATATGGTCAGTATCGAACGATATGAGTCTGTCTACCATCGATCACTAATCAAGCGAATCACACTTACGATCCGACTTCTGCACTGACATCCACTTGTTGGAAGCCGAGACTCCACAAGGCTCCAGCCGATATTGCATTCTCCCTGCGTTGCTTCCCGAAATCTTTCGCCTCAAACTTGGCAAAGCCCGCCGGGACGCCATACTCTTTGTGTTTAGGATCCTTTGCGTCACACATAGCATTGAACATGCGCAAGAAGCCTCCCCTATCGATATAACCGACATCTCCAATCTCCACTTCGCCGTACTCGCTGGGCTCTGGAACCCATAGAGGATAGCCCTGCCGGCAGCGGAAAAGCTGTTCCGCATAGATGTCTTCCGGGCTTCCCGAATTCATCAGGTTGGCCAAGTGCGGAGTGTAGAGAAATTTGACGAGGGATTGTGAGCGAGGAGGTGGGCGATAGTACTGCGCCACGGAATGAGGAGAACTATGAGGATAGAAGAGACGCACTGCCTTAGAAGCATTCAAGCGCTGTAGCAAAAAGAAAGTTCATCTGATATGGCACAGGATCCAGATACCACACACTCACCAATCAGGTACTAATGCGAACATCATCATTGAATACTTCCGATTCAGCTTGGGAAACCCCGTGTTCCGGGAAGTTTCCGACATACTGCTCACAATCCAACGAAAAAACGACCCAAGTATCCAATTTGTTCGTCTGTTTCAGAACTACCACTTGTCTAGAGAACGCACGAGGGTTGTGGTCACATACTGAATTGTCACATCCATAGCAATAGTATATCTGATTGGCAAATGGCGTACACAAGGGCCTGCTCGAAAAGACAACTCACAAGGATCAATTGCGGGCCACCAGCATCAAACTTGTACCACAGCCTATACTTACAATGAAACCTCACTCCTAAGACAGTAACATGACATACTGTCGTACCTCAGTACTTGCACACTGTTCATCATGAGGTACCTAGCGTCGCAGTATAATCTATCGCCGGGAACTTGCTAGCTGGAACATATCAGCGGTGAGATCAGAAATGCTGCTGTAATTCCGGCTGCTTACATCTTCGATGAGCCATAGTGACCTGATCACACCTCGCGTCGTGTGAGACCATCGAGAGGAACGGGTACGAGTCAGTCCTCTAGTTCGTCTTCCTCGTCTTCACTACTATCCGCCACTGGCGGTCTCCGAGGTGCCCGCGCCGCAGGACCACCCACCGCGTCCTCCACTATCATATCCGCCACCATCTCTATCGCAGCGCGCGACATTCGCGGCATCGCACCCGGACGCAGAAGAGGGTGATGTTGTGGATCGAGCTCCATCTCGTCCTCTGCGTCTGACACGTCTGCCTCATCTTCAGAGGCGTCGTCCCCCACATCCTCTTCAGCCCCAGAAGCCGCGTCACTGGAGTCTGAGCTCGAGTCGCTGGTGGCGGAACCTCCGTCAGACGAATCGTCGCCGACGAAGTCAGAATCGTCTTCGTCTGACTCGTCATCTATTGGGATATTCGCAGCAACGTTCGGCTGCGCATTCGTGTTTGGTTTCGACCCTCCCTGCAGTTTGCTTGGCGACGAAGCAGCAACCTTCCGTCCGAAAAGGTTCTTGCACCTCTTCGCCCATCGCGCGATCCCATCCTGCTCCTTTCCATCTATCATCCCGAAGTCCACGTCTACTACTCGTTCTTCCTCTTCCTCGTCGCCACCTCCCTTCTGTTCCTCTCTCTCACCTCCAGGTTCCACCCTCCTGAGAATTGCCGAACATGTTCTCCCAGTTGCACTGATTGTCCTCACAGCCCTAACCTCTCCTTCCTCCGTCCGCGCGAGATCTTCCACAGCGAAAAATTCCGCTGGACGCCCATCCCAGAGCACTCCGCTCGCAAAGAACCACAACGTGCCCTGTTTCGCGCCGCGGTACGCCTCGATACCCGCTGTGCCTTCCGTAGGGCCAGAGCTTCCTCCTGTAGCAGAGCCGGATGAGAATGCCGAGCGGAAGACGTCCGTCGACGGCTCCAGCGTGGGGATCGGAAGGTGGGCCAAGAACGCGCGCAGTGCAGGGAGTGTGGGCGTACCTTTCGCGTGCATGGTCTCAAGCGTACCTTGTACATGATCCGACGTACTGAACCCTGCCGGCATAGCATCGAGACCGAAAACTATTGACAATGTAGAGTCATCCTTGTCCTTGTCCTTTCCGGACTTCCCGAGGGCAGGGACATCGGTAGGGAGCAGTACGACTGTCCAATGAGGTTTTGTTTTCCCGCGTGTGGGAAGGAGGAACGCTCGTTTGAGTGTGTCGAGCGGGATGGGTACATGTTCTGAGACATGGGTTGTCGGATGGGTGAGCCGAAGTGTATGCGCATGAATTGTGACATTTGCTTTCTTGCGAATGGGCGAGGTGAATGACAGCGCGTGAAGCGTAAATAATGGAGGATCGTCTTTCGCTGGCTCGAAATGATATGCGCAACTGAAAACATGACGACGAGATGCGTGCTTACCCTCGTCTGTACCAATCTTTGCTCGCTTGCTATTCTCCAACATGTCTCCCTCCTCCCTTGCCCTTTTTGTCCCTCCAACCCCATTTGAGCCAACGGGCTCAGCTAATTTGGCAATTTCTTCCGAGGCTTTCTTTTGTGCAATACCCCACGACGCACGCATATCAACATCCTCTTCAGCGCACGAAGCATGGAGAACGAATCGAAGAAGCGTGTCAATAGTCAATTTCGTTGGATCAGGAAGGGCGGCTAGCTGTGCATGCAACAGAGACGGCGTGTGGGGGAGGACTTGGTTGAAATATTGCAATTGTGTTTCGTTCATGGTCCAAGTCCGTAGTGCAGAAACCGCAAATTGAATGAATGGTGGTAAGTGAAATTCCGCGGGTATCTTTTCAACCGATCAAAGACAAGTCAATCAAGTAGAAAGAGCAGGGGAGGGAGGAGAGTGCATGCATATGGCTAACTTCAACTTGTACAATGTGTTCCGGCACGCGATATGCCGAATCGATCCCCATTCAAAGATCCAAATACCGGCGCCGCCAGCTCTCCCCCGGTGGCTACGCAATGTTCAAACTGCTTATTCGTTTTTGAGCTCTTAATTCTCGCCTTGTCATATATCTGCGCGCAGTACCTCTCAGGCTCTAGCATCTGCACTTTATTGACTAAGTAATGGCTGCTTTTCTCTGGGATTTCAGCGACTCAGTGTCCAGTTGGATCGGATTTCATCCAGCCGCCATGATTCCGTAGTTGCAGTTCACATGTCTCTACTCAATTTCTGGCAATGGGAGTGTGCTTTGTAGCCTCCTGGCTCGCTCCAAAACGCGTATTGTGTCGCAAGTGCGAGTCCTAACGTTGTCGAATGACGGGGAACAGAGGAGAATATTCAAGTATCTGACTCCCGTAGAGCGTGTTCCAGAGCGATCCACATGGTGCGTGATGCCATTGGTGTCGTCAAGATTATACCGTGTGTACTGCATGATACTTGGATGCTTGAGTGCCCAGACGGTTGCTCCAGGTTCGCGAACCCTCTGGTGATGAACTTTGCAACATCAGTGACGTCCATACGATTGCCCCATGACTCGATGGGCTTGTATAAAAAGCCTTTGTGTTCTTCCTCTACCCTCACCAGAACTCAGCAGCTAAATCGATAGCAACTCTACCCCCTCTCTGCACCCCTACTACTTTTTGACAATGTCTCTTTCAACCATCTTCTACGAGCCTTTCTATTCGCTCGCCGACTTTGACCGCTTGTTTGACGACGCCTTCTCTGCCCGTTCCACATCCCAGGGCGGGGACCGCCAGTTGCAGAGGCAGGAATCAGGCTCGAGGTTCCTCAGGCCAAAGTATGCTTATCCTCGATATTGGTAAAGTAGTTACACTGACATGGTCATTTCAGGATGGACATCCACGAGGACATTCAAGCTAACACCGTGACGGCCATATTTGAGCTTCCCGGCATTAACAAGGAGAATGTCCAGATTGACGTGAACAACGGCGTCCTGACCGTCACGGGAGAGTCGAAGGTCGCAAATGATCGTGATGAGAATGGCTACGCCGTGCGTGAGAGGCGGTACGGAAAATTCTCCCGTGCAATCCCTCTTCCTCAAGGTGTTAAGGTACGTACTTTTTTAAGCGTTATCTTGATGCCAACGTGTATAACTGGTAAACGAACAGAGCGAGGACATCAAAGCCGCTATGGAGAATGGGTTATTAACAGTAGCGTTCCCCAAGACAACGCCGGAAACTGCTCCGAAGAAAATAGCCATCGCTTAAAGGGTGGGACGATCGAGGTGTTAAATATGAAGCACTTCAGCTGGTTTTTGTCTGTGTGTATTTGATAGTGCTTCTCGTCATAGGATATGCTCGTTGAACATGCCGATGTTTGTTGATTGTCTTCGACGCGCGCGACTTACGTTCACTTAAGAATTTGCGACCATTCTGCCTCAGGTTTACTAGACATGAACTGGGTTCTGAAAAATTTTGTGACACGAGTAGGAATGTAAGAATGCACGCACTGCACGCAACCGGCCCATTAAGTCTATTCCTCGACTATTCCTCGCCAAGTCCAGATTTGGGATGTCGACGGTCGGTCAGCTCCCACTTCCTCGGCCTCACCGTTAAGCTCTGCAGAATAATTCAGGGAGTCAAATTCGACAGCCGGCGCGGAACCATAGCTCCTGCCGTCCCCACGCCGACATTCGGCCGCCGATTTCGACGAGTTGACTGTTGACTAGGAGGTATTGAATCTTGATCGGCCCTCAAGGGACTTTGTCCGGCAATTACGTTGACTCTACCTATCCGGTGGGAACATGGAGTAAGTGAGCCCATCGTTGTACAATGGTGGGCGGCCGCTCACCTACTGTCCTCTCATTTGTTTGGCTTTCTCAAATGTATGTGCGTTGGAATTGAAAGCATTAGATGCAGGTTTTGAGCACAGTGTCTGAAGATTTAGGACGACTAAACTCAGGATGGGATGACTCTCGAACAAATCCAGAACGTGGACAGGTCGTGCGGCCGCCCAAACTTGAAGCTTGAAGTCCAGGCCTGGACGGCGAATCTACTATGGCACTGCCTCTGACCATCTCCGCTGCCAGTGGGGACCCCTCGACAACACCTATATATATATACACGCACCAAGGTTCAGTTATCAATCAGGACACGACGTTCATCTTTTCATCGGCACGCTTGGATTCAGCTGCACATTGCCGCGGCGTTGTCAAATCGAAACAACACCATGTCTCTACTCCCTTATCCCACTTTGTTCCTACTCCTCGGAATCGCCATACCTTTTTGCGTAGGATGGAAGATAGCCTCCATTTTACTCGCACCATACTTGACTGCTTTGCGCGACCTTCCCGGCCCCCCTAGTTCCAGCTGGCTTTACGGCAGCATGAAGGAAATGAAACATGCCGACTTTGCTGCTATCCACGAAGATTGGGTTGCCAAGTATGGCAAGACTTTCAAATACAAGGAGTGGATGAATGTGAGTTTTCCTGTCTCGTTAAATAGTTGCAGTATCCGCTACTGACATAGGTGCCAGTTTGATAGGCTTTATACTATCGACACGAGAGCTCTTGGTCATATTCTGAGTCACTCGAATGATTTCCCCAAGCAAGCAGTTGGACTTTTTTTCCTGTCTCAGGTTGTGGGCTCAGGTATGAATATCTAATCCAGTTTTCTTTGTTGTGCTGATATCAGTCCATCTGTCCCAGGTCTTCTCATTGTGGGAGGTCAGTACCACCTCGCCTTTTACCGCTTCACGATCATCACCGCTCATTACACCACTGTGTCAAGGCGAGCAGCATCGTCGGCAGGTGAGTATTATCAGTATCAGGTATCTGCGTCCTAACAACGAAACCTGCTCATCGCATCACAGCGAAGGGTATTGGTAAGTAAAGCTTATATCGTTTAGAAGTGGTGATGGAGAGATCATCTTGTAGAACCCGGCATTTGGTCCAGCTCAGATCCGGGAACTGACGAGTATTTTTGTGGAGAAGGCCCATCAAGTAAGACGCTTGAGTACTCCTTCGCACGCCTTTTTTGAGTAACATCAATAGCTTCGTGATGTCTGGAATGCAGATATAAACGGAGATGGCGAGCCCCATCGGGTTGAAGTCCTCAGCGGGCTCAGCAAAATGACGTTGGATGTGATCGGATTAGCTGGTTATTCTAAGCAATATCGTTTATATGCGCTCGAGCTGACAATCTTCTTGTAGGTTTTAATTACCATTTTGACGCATTGAACCCCCATGGACAGAAGAACGAGCTGAACGAGGCGTTCACTGTCATGTTTCGGACACTGTCGGGTTTCAACTTAGGTCTCTTGCGCATACTTAAAGGCTACTTTCCCCTCTTGCGTCTCATTGTACGCCTTTCTTCTTATTTGAGTGACCCAAACTGACCTCAAACAGCCTGACAAGTACACTAGACGCATCGATGCAGCCCAAAGCGTCATGCGGCGCATCGGCATGGAACTCATAACTGAAAAGAAAGCAGAGCTCGCCAAAGCGGCTGAGACAGGCGTAAAGGGGGAACACCTGAAGAGTCGCGACCTGTTGACGTTGCTCCTCAAGGCAAATATGAGCGAAGACGTCCCGTTGAACCAAAGACTGTCGGATGACGAGGTTCTTGCTCGTACGTATCTTTATGTATTCTTCGCATTGGCGTGATGTACAAGCTTGACTATGCATTTAGAGGTACCGACGTAGGTTTATGGGATCGCGATACGCGAGCGGCTTCTGAACAATTGTCTTTCAGGTTTCTCGTAGCGGGCCATGAGACCACTAGCAATGCAACCGCGTGGTGCCTATTTGCCCTCGCGCATTCCCCAGAGGTCCAGCAGAGGCTGCGCGAAGAGCTGTTCAGTTTGCTGTCGGAAAATCCTTCCATGGATGAGCTGAACGAGCTCCCTTATCTCGACGCAGTCATCCGCGAGACCATGCGCGTGCATGCACCTGTCCCTTCCACAAGCAGAATTGCAGCACAAGATGATGTGATCCCCTTAGAAACGCCGGTTGTAGATGTGAACGGACAAGTGCACAATACTCTAAAGTAAGTGATCAGTAGCAATCAACTGATTCAGATGGTCTGACGTCGCGCCATCATAGGGTCAGCAAGGGCAATATCATACAGATCCCGATTCTTGTCTTGAATAGATCGAAGGAGCTCTGGGGTGAAGATGCGCACGAATTCAAGTTCGCCGATGACCCTTCTCTTGGGAAGTGTCCTTTAGCTGACTGTATTTGTACAGGCCAGAACGTTGGATTACCGGCATCCCCGACAGCGCCAAACACATTCCTGGTGTATGGGGGCACATGCTCAGCTTCCTGGGTGGTCCCCGCGCATGCATTGGCTATCGGTTCTCTCTCATCGAGTCAGTGTTTATTCTGGGTGCCTAGATTGTCCTTTCGAGTTGACATGCTCTTGTCCAGAATGAAAGCATTGATTTTCTCTTTGATTAGAGCATTCGAGTTTCAACCAGCTGTGCCATATGAGGCGATCACGAGGAAGCTCGCGATCGTCCAGCGTCCGTATGTCCGTGGCGAGATGGAGAAGGGAAGCCAGCTGCCGTTACTGATCAGACGTTATCAGCGAACGTAAACAAGGGATGGCTAGCCTCATTAAGTAAGATCTAGTATCTCTTTCGTGGTACTACTTCCGTGGAGAAATCAGTTGTCTCTCGACGCTGCGCCACTGCAGTGCGCATCTTGGGCTCAAAATTGTAAGCTTCCACAGCTTATATGTGACTCGCATTGCCGTTGGGCCGCGGCGCTGCCATGAGACTAAGTACTCAAGTTCTGTCACGAGTGTGATTCCAACAAACTAGGTCGTTCCGTGGATGCAACAAGTCCTTCTCGATGATCCACATTCTCCTGATCTCAAACCAAACCTGTGCTCTGCGTTCAGATCGTCATTGACTATCTCTACCATACAACATCAATACGCAACGTCTCCCGCAAATATGCTTTGTGTTATCAAACACATTACCGCATAACATTAGCTTTCAGTCTTTTAGTACAAATTCCATAAGTCAAATAAAATAGACGATCCAGCACCCATGCCAGAGGGCGGGATTGTGAGAGTCATGATACGGCCTTGTCATCATCAGAAGAGGTCTCCAATTTAGTCCGTGACGGGGTTCTGGACACCTCGAGGGTCACCTTGTCCTCGCCGAAGTCCTCTGCGCTCCCGCTCCGACTTCGACTAGGGCTTCGACTCTTACCCCGCGACGAGCCGTGGTCTCGGTCGACTGCCGAACTGAACCGTCCCCGTGCTGGAGTGCGCGGCGTTTCAGCAATCTGGGCCTCGCGCTGCGCCTGCTCGTCGAGCGCGCGACGCGTCTGCTTGCCTTCGACGAATACCATAAACGCGGTCACGGTGCACACGAAGACGCCCTGGAAGATGAGCGCCTTGTACATGTTATATGACGGATTCGCGTCGGCGCCGGCACGCAAGGAGCCCTCGGCTGCATAGTCGCGTCAGACGACGACGACAACAACAAAAGAGAGGCGGCACCTACATAAAACAAAGACGATGCCAAGCAGGTTTGACCTAAGAACGACTGCAGAGTCAATATCATTCAGGAGCAAGAGAAAGATCAGTACGCACGTGGCCCACAACATCGCCGAGCTCCCATCCGCATTTCGGGTAAGTTCCACCGCCAATTCCAACGCGACTGGGAGCAACGTCAGACTCGTCGCACCGATGACAGCCATGAGTGCGAACAGCGCGCCCGTATTATTGCGTCGCACTAAAGGATCAATGGGATCTCCGTAAATTCTCCATCCCCATAGCTAAACACAGTCACATACCAGCCCAGATCAGACTCAGCCATGCGCCACCCAAGATGGGGCACAACAGCTTGCACGTCGGCGCAAGGTGATGCGTGAAGACACGGTCGAAGAGCGGCGCCGTGATCAAAGCAGCGACAATCCCCACGAGAAGCAGCGCTGCGCCCATCAAGCCAGAAATGGTATCTGAGTAGCCATACGGTTCCTGCAGAACGACGACATCAGACCCAGCGACAGTCGACAAATATGTGAGAAGAAAATCAGCGAATACACACCATAATCTGAGCGCTGAGGATCGAGAACGCATTGATCCTGTGCACACAAATCGTCCCAGGTAAGTGTCTGTCCCACTTCTTGTATGAACGCAGGCGATCAGGACGTACACCCCAACGAGAACGCCAAAGGCGAACGATATAGCAACAAAATCGAATCTCTGCCTCTTCGTCATATATGTTGGCAGATCATCGGGTTCTCGTCCCATCACAGCGCGTATGAGCGACATAAATGACGGGCTCTTCTGCGACGCAGAGTGGGCTGAACAAGCGGTGCATTGATTCCATCAGCACAATTTGACGGAGTATAAGCGTAATACACACTGGGCGGCGTTGGCGGCGAATCGGTTACGATAAACACGAATGGTGCCGCTGCGGTATAAATGATGCCCATGACAAGGACCTGCACCATCGAACTGAAATGAGCGTCGCATCTCGCGCGAGGGGTCGACAAGACGCACCGACTGACTAGGCGAACCTACCAGCGGCGAAATGAGCTGGCCAAGACCGTTGCCAATCGGATTGGCTACGAACGTGATAGTCAGACCCGTGCATAACATAGTGTACAAAGCGAAGGTCAACGGATGCGCAACCAAATCTGATCGGCTCTCATTCAAAATCCCCCTGGGTGCACTTACCAATCGACATCAGCATTGTCGCCGTTGTCCGGCTCTTCAGGTCGAACCACTTTTCCGAGTAACCCGGAATGAGCACCTGGAAGATAGGCTGCGTGATACCCGCGAGAAGCTACATAGAAAGCAATCAGTCATCTAACCCCCGAGAAAGGGAGCAACACACACCTGCCCTATCAGCAGGAGCGCATACGCCCCGCCCATCGGTAACCCCGATGCTGTCCCTGCATAGCGCACCCAAGCACTCGCAAGCAGTAGCACTCCGCCGATATAGCACTGCACGAAGGGGCGCGGTCTTCAGTCACGAACCGTTGCTTCACTCACCGCATGACAGGGTGCTCGGGTGAAGAAAATGGGATACGTACCGTGCGCTGCACGCCAAGACGCGCATACACCCAGGGAATAAAGGCGGAACACGGGAGATAGACAATGTTGACACAGTTCCCGAGCCAATTCACCTCGTCAAGTGTGAAGTTAAACTGATTGACCACTAATGATTATTGGTCCAAAGATTTCGGCGTCAAGAGTTTCCATTTTTGGAGTTGCCGTTTGCAGCGGATAGCAGAGTACAGAGCCGTAAACATAGAGAATAGAGGCCAGTCAGCGCGGCACAAAGCAATGAAAAGCGGGGGACGCGATATGACACATAACCATGTGAAAGTAATATTTGTGCACACATATACAACTGTCAGCGCATAAGCGGCAGCAAGTCCACGCAAAAATAAATGAGAAGAATTCGAAAAATCGAAGCAGCATTGACACTCATGGAAAAATCATGTGTCGAGCGGTCCGACGGAGCCGCAGGGAGGAGTAAAGCCGCAGTAATCAGTACGTGCGATCTCACGGAAGCATACGACATCACGTAGGCAGTACAAGTGATGATAAGGGCGAAGCCGAAGTCGGTGACCTGTAGATGCCAAGGAAGGGAAGGGACAGTGGAAAAATCCATGGGAAGCGCGCGACGGCGATACAAGCGTGTGAAGGCGGCCAATGACTTCGGGTTGGGGGATGCGAAAATGGTAGACATAAGATGAGACGCACCGTCGTTAGCAATGGGCCCAAACCACACGAGCGATAGGCCAGAGACGAGATTCAAAATGAACTGAGTGTCGAGTGGAGGTCGTGTGCAGAAGAGTACGATGCCAAGAAAGCGCATATATTCGACCAGCAGAAGTTATAGCACCGTTGCATGAGTGTGGATACATTTTTGAGCATGCAGAAAGGACTTACAATCGCCACAACGCCAATCCAACGGCGCTTGTACATGCGGTATTCTATAGGTGGGCCATCGGGGATGGGGGCGGAGCGCTGGTCGCTTAGCTCAACGTCAATTTCAGTGACTATGGGACGAAGATTAGCACGAGGGAATTCAGGAAAATAAGAGACATGGAGCGAAAAGGGGGACGGAGACTTTGAGAAAGTCGAGGGCCAAGGGGGGGGTAAGGAGTGGACGCTGGCAAGTGGATCCGGCGAGAATGGAGACTGCATGTATGTGGGCACGGATAAAAACTTGCGGAAACAAGCAGTAAAGATATACGAGCAAAGGCGATCGCATCTCGAGGCTGGCACAGGAAATCGGGCAGTTGTGGTCGTGTGTTTCGTTGCAGAGCCTGGGAGAGACGGAGAGGGTTGTGAGCAGAGAGGTGAGCTCACCTTCGAACTGCACGGGATCTGCGGTCGAGACTGAACTGAAGCGAGGCCGCCATTTTGCCATGGACGCGGGAGGTGGGGGCGGAAAGAGAGTAAAGAGAGGGGATGAGACATGGAAGAGAGACGCCTGATATTCCCAGCCGGAAGCGGAGGCCAGTGGTGGTCCTTCAAACGGGCCCGCATGCACATCTCTCCCCCGTGCCGACCCGGCTCCGTCGGGTCCGCATCCACGTAGCATTGGAGCGTCTCCATCCATCGAGTGCGCCCATCTACATACTAGTTACTAGCACATCTATCACTCCGTGTCCTCACTTGATGACTGGCACCGGCCTCCCTCATTTCGAAGCCTCTCTGACAGTCCCCTAATCCCGTTCCTACCCCGATATCGCTCCTCGGTTTTCCATAACGTTCGCGTTTTCCCTCAGCACGCTCAATCCCATCCAGACCTTGCCGGTGAGCATTTCTTATCCCTAAAATCCTAATTTCAGTTGGGAATCAACGCAACCTATTTTAATTTTCAAACGTCATACACTGCCACCCAGGTACACGTCTCAAGTCGCTACGGCCCGGGAAAAGGTGGCGTTTGCGGGAGGTCATTGCACCATGATATGTTATCATATGTGATCTGGACCCTGGTATCGTCTCCCCCATCTTCTGCTTAAATTAAGTATCTCCACTGACTTCCTTGAAATGCGTCCACTGCTCAGGATCTAGATTCTGATATGTATCTCTCATGAGTACTTACATATTCGTCCAGCCTCTCCTCTTTGCATGTTAACTCAAGCTTAAGCTTACATATCGGCTTGAATGCGTTAAGGTCATACATCTTTACGGTACTTTCCGAGGTGAGCGGGTGAGCGTGCCCTCTCCACCTTCACTTTCGCTACTGACTTCAATTCAATCCCCTCGCGCAGGCCCAGACAGCTATCTACGCAGTACAACGCGTAAGGATGCGCAGATCGCACGCGCCTGCAATACCTTCGCGTATCTTCACGGACTCCGGCACATAGGACTCCATTCCTCTAGGCATTATGTAGTAGGCTGTTGCCAATTCCTCCCTATCCGCCTCGTCATCGCACTCTTGTTTTCCCACATCGTGTTAGTACAAGCAGGAGATGTCAAATCTGACAAGCATGCATCTGCTTTAGTCCTGATCCGGTCGGCACAAGTACTTAGTATCAGCAATCACCTCGTGATTTCTGGTGTCTCTCTGGCAGTCCCCCCAATCTTAGGCAGCGATGTCCGCGGATGTCTCGCTGCCATATCGTTCAAGCATCATAGTTTTCATGCTACACCATCCCCGTGACGCGACATATGTTTCCCTCCATACCGGTGCTAAAGATTTCTATTGTCTTTAACGGCTGGTAAGTAAAGGGCGTATCTTGAGAATGTACCTTAGTGCGGAACCAAACACATCGTGCCATGCCAAGCACACAAGCTTCTCAGTTGCGTCATCCTCATTGTTGTACACATTTGATAGCGGTCCGGCACACTGCTCGGCATGCTTTTACTAATGGCGCATTGTATCATCGAATACAAATGAACCCCATGATACGCTCAACAGATCACAGGACCTGGTAAGTATAGTCTCTTTAGCGTCCGCCCAGCGCCACTGATCACTCACTCAACCTCATTTGCTTTCTCGCATCGCCAATTCGTTCCTCAGGGTTCAGGGCGAGAGTCTACTCACGACGCCACGGCCGCCCGGCACGTAACAAGCGAGCGAGGCCACGTCTAGTTGGTAAGTCTCATAAGGCACATACCACAAGACTAAACTCGGCGCCTCGCTACAACTCGAAAGTCAGGACGGAGCAAAGTGAGACGGACGCATGGGGGCCGGATGCAACGATATCTGTCACGCGCTGGTCTTCCGTCGTTCCCAGAGTGCTATAGGAGCCATGGCTTTGCCAAAAGTCGAGCGCACGCACCTGTGATTATAATCGCCGATGCTGTCAATTGGGCGCGCACTGTACCTCGTCCCCCACCGTACGATGAGCCCATGTATGATTCTCCTCATCAATAAATTAACTATCAAAGCGAAAGCACGGCTAATATATAATCCCTGTGTATATAATCCTCACGTCTAATATATAATCCTCGTGTCCAAAATAGTGTCGTAACGTGGCGAGCGTCCCAGCTCACGACGAGCTCTCGCTCATACCTACATCCATAATCAGCGTGACTTCGCTGTCATTAACTGTGTTGGTGCTAATCGCTTTGATGCTACCACTTCGATTGCAACCGCCAAGTGTCCGGCTGCTGCTCCGCGGTCGGCCATGCTCCCAATCTGCGATCAAACTGGTGCGGCCCCGCGGCGGTGTTTGTGGTGCTTCACCCTCGTGCTGTACCTGCTCGTCTAGCGCACGACGCGTCTGCTTCCCCTCGACGAAGAGCACAAGCCCGACCGCGCAGCACACAAGCACACCCTGGAAGATCAGCGCGCGGTGCATGCCGTATGGCGGGCTTGAGTCTGCCCCGTCTCGTAGAGCGCCTTCCGCTGCACACACATCAGTCAGGCCATGCGCAGGAAGGAAGACCAGGGGATATACACACCCGACACAAGTATAATGCCGAACAGATTTGACCTAAAAAAGGGTGACAAGTTTACGATCCGTCACGTACGAGAGGGGAAAATGTACGCACGAGGCCCATAACAGCGCCGAGCTGCCGTCTGCGTTCCGCGTAAGTTCGACCGCGAGCTCCACAACGACAGGGAGCAGTATCAGGCTCGTCGCACCGATGATGGCCATCAGCGCGAACAGCGCGCCCGTGTTGTCGGGACACACTACAAGTATCAACAATGTCGGAATCGGCCCTACGATTGGCTGAAGAACTCAAGTTAAGACGCACCGGCCCAGATCATGCTCAGCCACGTCGCACCGAGGACGGGACTCAGCACCTTGCACGTCAAAGCGAGATGGTGCGTGAACACGCGATCAAAGAGCGGTGCGGTCACCAGCGCGGCGATGATGCCCACAAGAAGCAGTGCAGCACCCATCAAGCCTGAGATGGTGTCCGAGTAGCCGTACGGTGTCTGTGTGAATATACTTAGAATACACAGCCATGAATGAGCGGGGGAGCGAGTACATACCATAATCTGGGCACTGAGGATCGAGAACGCGTTGATACTGGACGAAATACGTTCTATGTGAGCACGATGTTTCATCACAGCAGTAGATGCGCAATACTCACACTCCGACCAGGACGCCGAACGCGAGTATAAATATAGCGAAATCGAACCGCTGCCTGCGCGTCATGTACGTCTGCCGCTCCGCGGGCTCGCGTCCTGCCATCGCCCGAATGAGGGACAAGAACGGCGGATTTTTTTGTGACGCGGCGTGCGCTGCACAACGCATGCGTGCTGTACATCAGTCGTGTGACATAATGAGATGGTCGTAGTACGCACTGGGCGGTGTCGGCGGAGAATCAGTAATGAAAAAAACGAAGGGCATGGCAGCAGTGTGAATGATGCCTAGGATGAGGATCTGCTCCGCAGGCTGGTATGAGCGCTGCTTCTCGCACGGCTGACGACGTACGCACCGAGTGACTCGGGGACCCTACCATTGGGGAGATGAGCTGGCCTAGACCGTTTCCGATAGGGTTTGCTATATGCGCCACAAGGATTAGAACTGTCTAGCGGCTAGACAATACTCGGAGAGGAACGGCGTTCGCAAGTACGTCTAGACCCAAGATCGCGCAGAGCACTCACCAATTGACATCAGCATCGTTGCGGTGGTCCGGCTCTTCAAATCGAACCATTTCTCTGAATAACCAGGGATAAGAACTTGGAAGATCGGCTGCGTGATTCCACCGAGGATCTGTAGTACGTGCGAATGGACTGATAAGACCAGCTCACAGAGGTAAATGGGAGTGGTACGCACCTGCCCGATCAACAGCAACGCATACGCACCATTAAGCGACACGCTAGGTGCTGTCCCCGCGTATCGCACCCAGGAGCTCGCAACCAGCAGCGCTCCACCTATATAGCACTGCATTCAGAGGGCATGGCCAAAATACATAAGTGAGAGGCATCGCGGAAGGAAAGAAAAAAATAAGATACGCACTGTACGGCGCACGCCGAGACGCGCATACACCCACGGAACGATCACAGAAAGTGGAAGATAGGCAATGTTGACGCAATTTCCGAGCCAGTTCACCTGGTTGAGGGTAAAGCCAAACTCGTCGACCACTATCGTTGCGAGTCGTTTGAATTAGACGATAAGGTGTACGAGACAAGGATTCCGGGGATGTCAACCGGAAAAGGAGGTGGGAGCCAGAAGTGTTCGTGTGAGCGATAAATCGAATTTGATAGAATGCAGATAGGAAGTACGCGTGGTTGTGTGAAGCAGCGGGAGCCGCGAGTACGTCATGCAGGGATCCGGAGGGCGACGTACGATCGAAGAGTGTATGGACGGGCGGCGACGGACGATGTGAATATATAAGAAAGAAAACATATTCAGCATAGACATCTTGTACGGGCGAGTTTGGACAGAGCTAGGGGGGAAGGAATCGACCTTGGCGCATTCCAAAAATAGCACGTGGGGCCATGAGAAGTAAGACAACGCACCCGAGTTGGCGATGGGGCCAAACCACACGAGTGTAAGACCGGAGACGATGTTCAGGATGAACTGCGCATAGCGGCGTCACAAAAGAGTGCGGCAGACGCGTGTGGTTGTAAGTCGACCTGTGCGAATCTGCTCTGTCCATACGAGGGCACTTACGATTGCAACGACGCCGATCCAGCGACGCTTGTACATGCGGTGTTCGACGTTTGAGTCGCCCAGGATCTGAGTGGGGAGCTGGTTGCTTGTCTCAACATCATTTCCAGTGGCTATATGCTTGAGATGAGTGCCAGGAAGACTTTGGTAGAAGGGAGAGAGGAGAAAAGTGACTACGGATATGGAGCGGTAGACAGTAACAAAGCGGACAACGAACGATAGGCGGAGCAGGCGAGAGAGAATGACATGGGCGTAGGTGCAGTAAGCGGAAACGGTATGAATGAAACTGAAGCCTACCAAAACGTCGATATGCGTTTGAAAACAACCCCATCGCCGCCGGGACACCCTGGCAGGGCGAGGATATGGCTCGAAGGGAAGAGAGGGCTTACCTTTGAGCACGTCCATTCTTCCTGAAACACGGAACAAAAAGAGCGGAAAAGGGAGAGCCGAAGCAGACGATTCAACATGTTGGCCCAGGGTATGTGTTCTGCCTCCGGCCAATGTAGCCAACGGCCTCCTCGAACCCGCGTGAACACCGGGCTCCGGCGGCAAAGCTGTTACTACCGGCCCAGTATCCTGTGCCAGTGTCTGACAATCGGCTATAAGCGTCCTTTCTCCGGCACCATCTGGAATTGCTGTTGCATCTTCATCGTACGCAGTGTGCATGTATTGAAAATCTCTTGAAAACTCGGATACACCTGGTATACTTATTCACCTTTCTTCCTTCCGTCCTATCTAGCAGTTCGATTTCGAGCTCTGAGCGGTGGGAAGTGTGTCTGTGAAGTTCATCAAGCGAACACTTGACGAGGCTGTGACATCTCTACCGGCGCGATCTCATCTTGTTCCACTCTGGTGTTCCGCAGCCCGCACCGCGTATCTATCCGTTATTCCAGCCGCGATGGCTGCGTTGACAGCTTTTGTTACCAGTTATTGTTCAGAATTATTAGAGCTGCACACGGTTGGAAGTCTTGGCTGAGCAGAAAAAGGCGAATTTGCTATGTGTGTGCCGCTACAACAAGAGCCCAGGTTGGTCCATCACAGACAGGTGCCGATTACTAAAGATAGTATTGAACAAGTATTTACCCCCCTCTTTATTATTACTGACTCGGTGTGTTCGATATCAAAGTATTGCTGTACGCATCAGACCCACAGTGAAACCGAGTTCACATAAATGCTTGAGCTTGAAATCATACCGTATCGCCCCGTGTTCAACGTTCAACTGCAGCTGGTTGACTGCTGAGTCTTGACATCCGCTGTCTCCATACAGGCCACCTCACTAGCATTCTTGATCCTGATGTCATTGGGTTTCCAACTGAACACCAGGGGTCACTTATGGATAATGACAGACCATATCGTTGGCTTCCACAGAATCCTATAGTTCTGGAAATTACATATCATGGTCCATTGCCCATAGTTGAAGTATATCACGCACGTAACGCCAATCACCTGGGTTTGTCTGACTCTATAGCCTCGTCGTGATTGATGCCTCTGGGTCCACCGCCCATTCACTTTTAAGTTATTCGGATCTACCGTAGCAATCGCAACGCCACTCAGCCAGTGCGTTTTTGCCATATCCGCTTCGCGCTGCATCTGCACCTGCTCACAAAGCATACGGTGGACCTGCTTCTTCTCAATGAGCATGACGAGCGCAACCTCCGTACCAAACAAGCATCACTTAAAAGATGAGCAATGAGCGCGGGGCGGGCTGGCGTTTGCGCCGTCGCGTAGGACGCCTTCCGCCGCGAGATGGGATCATGATCCGAGAGGTCAATGGAAGCCTGCCAGGAGCCGCCGTGCCCGACCGTTCCGCCAATTGAAGGCAGTTCATCTGAAAGTCTCCGCTTTCAGTCAGGCAGTTCGCGGAACTTGCTAAGCCCGAACGGGCTTACGGTGAGGCAATGATTCAACGAATGATGCACTTAGCACGAAGATAAATTTGAACGGGTTGAATCTGGATTCCAGATACGCTCAGAGCTGGGTGGGTGAGAATTAAATCGGGTAGGACACATGAAAGCCATAAAATAGCGCAGAATTCCCATTCGCGTTCTGCATGAGCTCGAGCATAACAAGCAGCATCGTCAAATGCATGGGCCAATGACAGCCATGATCGCCATCAGTCCACCAGTATCATCATGTGCGTGCACCACACGCGGTACCGTCGAGGCCAGGATGCTACGTCTTCAGCTCTGTGAGTCGCAGACGAATGGGGGACTCATCTGCCCAGACCAAGCTATCCATGCTGCGCCCGGGATTGGGCAGAGCAGTTTGGATACCCGCGCGAGATGGTAGGCGAAAACGTGATCAAAGAGCGGTGTAGTCAGCAACGTTGCGCCCATCAGACCGGAGATGCTGTTCGAATAGGCGTATGGGCTCTGCAAAGAATTGTATGTAAGCGCAGCTGAGACCTGGAAATGACAACCACGTACTAGACTTTGAATAACAACTTGTCCAAGGCAGAGTACAAGACCAATCGATTAAAAGAAGCCACGGGGAATTCATTGCCACGAACGGTACTCCATGAGGACAAAATCATCTACCTCCTCCTGAAGAGATAGTGCCCGACACCCCACCTATCATATGCATGCGTGAGTCAGACATCCAGCAATATTTCGAAGACAAGACTTACTCGTTGCCATTATTCGTGGCGAAGAGCTCCGCGCAGGCGAGGTAAAACACGCGGAATCTGAGAATACACATTACTTGGCCGTGAAAAACAAGAGAAGCACCCACAAACCTATAAAACATCTTTCTCCCTTCTTCGGGATCTAATCCTTTCTCTTTCGCGTCTCTTTCGAGATCGGCAATTCCTTGTGCTCTATTCGTGTCTTGACGTCGGAGCCAGTCCTCGCATGTATGTGCGTAATGCTTTCCGTTCAGGAACCAGCTTCGCACAAGAGTGAGATCGTCTTGGAAGTACGACTTCGGGAGGGCAGACTTAGAATAGCTCATTTATTGTTAATCAGTTGACGATGCTTACTAGCAGGTCGTGGGAGAGCATTGTACCACCTATCAATCATAATGCTCGCGTCAATGGGCGCAGAAGTAAGAGAACAACGCCCTAACCGGAAAAGAAGTTTTGGGCCATCCAGCCGTCACCAGCCTCAAAGTGATATGGTGTAGATTTATGGCAAAATATGTGAACAAAAAGTAATGCATTTGCGTCCGGACGTAACCACGACGCAATTTTTGTCATCAACATTTCGTAGTTTTTCATATGCTCAAACATCTGTGAATGTCTAATGTTACAACGCTCGTTCAGGTGAGGGGAAAGGGCACACTGCAACAGATATGATTCTGTCGAAACTAGGCCGCAAACTGAATGAGTGAATTCGGGAATTTTTGTTAGTACGTACGTTCTAGCTTGACTGCCGAAGTCGAAATCATTTATATCAGCTGTTATGATCTGGTATTCAGGAATGAGAAATGAGGGATGGGGAGGGGGATGACTTCGGGTTATGCCTGGACAGACCTCAATGTTATTGATTGAGCGGGACTTCACTACAGAGTTAATGTACGCTTTTTGCGTCGCTGAGTTTGATAGGCCAGTGATGCTCGACCGCGGGTATTTCTACGAAGTCGACTCAATGATTCCTAAATTTGACGTTATAGGAGAGATACCTACTTCAGCTAAATATAAAACCAAACTTCCCCAGCCTGCAATCCCGTGCGGCTCATGTAAGATTCAACACTCCACACGGCTCAAATGTAGTTGCCTCACCACATCCGAGGTCGAGGACATCCATGCCATCTTTCAATTGCGCCTTTTCACAATAGCTCTCGAGCATCAGCACTTCAGCTTCTTCTAGGGTTTCATTACCTCTAGGGTAGAGGCAACAAGAGTATTTCGCACAGGGTCCTAGACATTGTAACATGAAATTTGTAGGGACCTGTGGATGTCTGACTGATGAAAGACACCATAGGAGATAAAGACCATCAAACCTCGTAATGTTGGTCGTTCGCTTTGCTCGTACAGTCCGCGATGGTATTTCTGGCCCGAACTTGTTCTATGAATTCCATTTTTGCCGTATGATTTTCCTCCAGAGATCCATTGTCAATCTGACGCAGTCTTTGACGGCAAAGAGCGCGTATCGCGACGCGTAAGATAATGTCGGGAACACATCCCTGCCACCATTGTCCTCACAGCTTTCTTTCAACTTCCGCGGGACTTAAATAAAGTGCATACCTTGTCGAGGAGAGCGTAGCCTATCTGTAGGATGAAGTTCACCAACATGGTGGTGGTTAAATGGAAGGCGTCGGTAAAAGATAGCTTGCCCAACTCAGTTAGATTCAGAGTCAGGTTGAGGGATCGATAAACGAGCCTCCATATTAACCAAGCCCAACTCAGTTAGATTCAGAGTCAAGTTGCGGCGCGGCGCCCAGTCGTGCGAGTACATAGCTGTGAGTTGACGCTACCACAACAATGGACTCATCCTTTCCGAGGAAATGGGCCCTTTGCAAGACTCAAAAACACTTATTATATGACCTAGTGGAATGCTTGACAAAAGTGCCTTTCACAGCTTTGGAAAGGCAAAAAGCTACCTTCAACTATGGAAAAAGGTTAGACCCCTACATTGTGTTAATTAGAGTCTTATCGCACAATTCCAGTGCCTTTCGCGTGCTTTTTGACGGCGTCGAAAGGATGCTTTCTGCGTAGTGTACTGTATGCCGCGATGGGGAGCGACAAGGGCGTTATGTTGTCCACACGCGATGAATGACCTTCTTTTCGGCATCCTCACGCTCCAGGGATTGCGCACCTTGCTCTCAACCTCCACCCACCAACTCTTGCCATCTGGACACCCCTTTGAATGTCCGTTCCTCGAGCATGGTCCACATTACTCTTGCGTCACTCTAGTCGAGCTCATGCAGTCGACCGATACAAGGCTATTCGCACATTCTTCTCCCATGGATACTCTCCCAATCCTCCTACATCTACCCTGAGATTCAGGGACAACATAAACTTGTATCATAATTTTTAAAGTACTTTGGCATAGAATGGGCCGAAAACTGCATATAACCATGCTATTAAGGGACGAGATGATTGCAAGAAAACCACTCCGCTGGCCGTATTCATAGTTATCAGAGGTACCAAAGCGACATACCTTGGCACGCTCGAGCGTTGTGAAGCGTATGGTTAAATTGATCGAAGTTGACGTTGAAAGAGTTATGGGTATGATTTTGCACCGCCTCTGTCAGCCAAAAAAACATTAGATTAGTCGAAAGCAAGACAGCAGGAACAATGGACAGCGGTGGCTAAATAATGTACTAGAGGTTATATATGCAGGGAAATTGCCCTACGTAGAGATGGGCATCTGTCATATCCATTCGTGAAGGTCGTAAATCGGTGTTAGTTCGAATATGCGAGCTGCCACTTCGATAGAAACAGGGTGAGATGAACAGCCACTAGAAGATATACAATGACAAAATATACCTTATCTGCACACCACTAGATCTTCCATTCGCAATTGGAGACCTTCTAATTCGCTGCTGACGCTCTGGGACCCCTCTTGTTCCCGTATACCTGTAGTTCGTACAGCTTTGGGAGTCATCTCCGTGGCTTCATCATCCTCACAAACAGCCCCTTCATCTGGCTCTCCATCCATATCCTCGTCGGGAAAGAATAGCTCTCCAAGTCCGAGATCCGAGCAGCGGGTCATCTTGAGCAAAAGACCTAATCCCATGTCGTTCTTCGCCGCGCCTGCACCTGGACCGTCAAGCATATCCCATGTTTCATCATCTAGTTCTTCTTCGCCACGACCCCACGTCGAACGAATTGCCCCAGGATAATTGAAGGACGCGACGATGAAACACACAGGAGAACCTACAAGCAATTATAATGAATGAGCAGACGCACTTTCAGAGACTGAGGGAAATATACGTACATAGTCCGCTAAGCTCTTGTTCATGTAGAAGGTATGGAGATGACTGCGCATCAACACGCGGCTCGGAGTTCTCCTTTTCATGATCAAGATGGTCTGGGAGGACATCGCCCAGTCGATATAGTCTCTGACACGCAGGACACACTCTTGCAGTCTTCCTACTCCGGTTGTACCACAAAATCTTCAAGTAGCAGCGTCAATGCGTCACGGTCGCCAAACAAGCAAGGTCACGAGGATCGCGACGTACCAGCGCTGTCTCTTCAGGCAAAATCGTGCTCAACATCTCCAACATCTCGTCTTGTGCGAATTCCGCGCATAGCGGGTCGTCGAGTGATGCGGGTGCGGCAAATGACGAAGCGAGGAATGCGCGTGTGTCCCGTACGCGCGGGCCTGAGCCCGGGTCATGGATGAACGGCTCCGTGAGCAGCGCAAGCGGTATGACCTCACGGTCGTCGTCCGTTCCGCACGTGTCAGATTCAGAAGACGAGTCGTCGTGGGGGTCGTGGACGTAGATTCGGTCATGGGTTTCGTGCGCATACAGTCGATCAGGAATTACGGGCGGATGTGCAGCGGGTTGGCTTGAATCTATTTGGCTGGGCACGGGGAGCGCATCTAGCTGCGGGGCTGGACTGGCTTCGAGTTCTGGCGCCTTGCCACTTGTTTCAGTTCTCCGCGTCTTCTTGGCTTGCACCTGTTTCTTTTTCTTTATATTTCGGGGACCAGGCATGGCGATAGCAGTGAGTTTGAGGTTGGCGATGAGCCAGAGGCGGGTTGGTCGTGCCCAAGTATTTGCCCAGCGAAAGATGACCAAGAGCAAGTTGCCGCTCGCGCTGTCACAGCCACACACCCACGTCACGGGTATGCTTGGCGACCTGTGTACGCCACGTGCCCGTGACGGCACGCGATCAAGTCACACAACACGATCACGTGAAGTTCTATCCCTAACTGGACTCCGGGACGGCAGCTGAACACCAATGCAGTAGCCCTCAAGTGACAATTTGCTCCAGAATCACACTAAAATTCCATCAAGGATGCCTCTATATTGAATGCTCTGCTAGAAATCTCAGGACTAGCCCGATGCCGCACGAAAGCGCGCACAGGAAGCGTCGACGATCAAGTACAAAGTGAAGGTGAAAGTAAGAAAAAACCAGCCCAGACTCAGAAAACACTGCTAGTATACAGACGAGCGCGCAGAGGTCGGAAAGTGATCAGCAGAAGGGCAACGCATACGCGTCATCCGCGATGCATGCTCACATCCGGCTGAGCATTCGCTTTCCCCTGCCACCAAAGCCCCCGAAGCCCGAGAATCCTGAAGTCTTACCGGTGGTAGTGTCAGTCTTGGAATTACCAGCAGCACCCGACGCGGCGGCAGATCCGGCGCTTGATGACTTCGATGTGTTGCCATTCGCACCCGTTTTGGAGCTCGCGGTAGCGGATGACTGGCTAGCGGCGGCACTCGATGACGACGTGTTGCCATTTGCCCCCTTGTCCCCGTTCGCGCCACCCTTGGTATTCGATGCACTATTCGACGCTACAGCGGACGATGCAGATGCGGAGGCGGAGGAGGATGTGCTGTCCGCTGAAGATGTGCTACCCGTGGAGGATGTGCTGCTCGTTGATGCGCCGTTGTCCGACACAGTAAACTGTGTGCAAATGACGACGCATCAGTATCGTATCAATAAAAATAGCCCTCTTCACTCACGTAAACCATGTCATCCAGCGAGCCGTGCTGGGCAACGGCAACGAGAGCCGGTTGGTGGTTAGCAGCGGCGTTAATCGAGGCCATGCGGTACACGCCGGCGGGGAGGCCGCCATCTACCGTCGTCGAAAGGATACCGTTGACGGCAACATCGTTCAAGCCTTTGAAGAACGCGAACACCTGTGGGTTTGTTGGGGTCGTTGTGGTCAACGAGCTGATAGCCTCAATGACGACGTGCGAGTGGCCGACGATCAATCCCTGACCGTTGATTGTCTGCGGCGCGGCAAAGTAGTTCGTGTCCGGGTTGACAAAGTTACCGGTGTCAAGATTCTGAATGGCCATCTGGATGGTGAAGTTTGTGTTGGCAGCAATGGTGTCCAGATTCTTCGGGTTAACGAACTTTGCCGAGGGCATCGCCGTCGTGGCAGGAATCACACCCATGGGAGCGGCATTACACGAGCCCGATTTGATTTGAGTACCGTTCGTCAGCGGGAGGCTCACAGTCGCGCAGAAGTTGATGAAATTGTTGACCGAAGTGTTCGACGGAACCTGACCTGCACCCTCCGGACTAGCAAAAATATTAGTTTTCTCAGCAGAGGATCCGCGTGGAACACCGCTCACTCTCCCTCAGCCTGACCATTCTGTTCGAAACCTGTGTTCACGAGCGAAGGGTCCAAGGCTGCAGTCATGGATGAACAAGCGGCATTAGTACTAGAAAATATCGACGCACTTAATGAGGTCTGAAGATTGTTGTCATTTGAGCCAGTATTTGACGATGTGCCAGTGGCCACATCAGTAGAGCCACCAACGGACCCGATGGACTAATTAAAAATAGCTCGCGTTAAGAACATGCATTTATAGCACGCGATTACACGCACGGAGGCACCACTTGATTTTGACAAAGTAGGGGACGTCGCACGTGCCGTAATTGTGACAGTCTGAGGGAAAGCATCCCATCAGGTCGTGATCGGTAGCCAGTGTCACCCATAGATCACTCACACACTCAGTAGAGGCTGCCGGAGCCGCGCTCACGGAGAGCGTAAGAGAAAGGAACGCAACAAGAAGGGCTTTGGTGAACATCTCGACCTGGAGGTTTACTGAGAAGGGGCCAGTGAATGAAGAATGAACGGCAGGCTTTGTGAGCTTGAAATGAAAAGACTCGATGAATGAAGGGAAAGAACGACCCCGGGTCGAGTAGACGCAAAACGCTAGCGCTAGGCAACGGCCTGCGACCAAGAGCAAGAGCAAGGCAAGATGGACAATAGTAAAGAGACAAACGTTGCGGGCCGTCTTAAATACGCATAGGGCGCCATCGCTTCGGCCTTGGACTGCCCTCCCAATCGCCTTCGCCGCCGCATCTGACTGGTGGATGATGCTCTAGCAAATTAGCCGAATGTTGTACTCCCCTGCCAACGGTGGCATGCGCATTCTCCTCCGAATTCTCTAGGCAAGAATAGTCGTTGTCAAGACAATGCCATCGAGCGATTCAGTGAATAGAGTTCTCTCCTTCCGCTATCAGTGGCGACGACGAAAATGAACAGTGGAATCAGACGGGCACCGACTGGAAGGGACTCACTCTCGTGCGCAGCATTGCATGGCGAACAGCGACGAGCTTGCGTTCATCTTGGATATGTGTAGTACTACGGATTCAATCTGAAGGATGGGATAGCCACTTACATAAGCCAGCGGATCTAAAAATGGCTTTCGTAGAATCCCGACTATCTGATAACTCGTCTATTATTTGATCATGGCTACGGCCCCGCGCCTTGCGGTCTGGAGGCGCTACCGAGACCGACGCGCACGCGCACGCGGGTGTGTTCCACGACCTCGTCTTAACGCCGACACCTGCTCCTTCCTGAAGTTAACCACCGCATGAGCAATTGTTATTCTGAATTCACAATCATTTCCTGAGTGACCGTACAGCACCATTTTGACTTCTCTGCGATGTATGGGACGACACAATGATATTTGTTCGACGTGGTGGGTGGCTGGGGAATCAGGCGTCCTGTAGTAACCTGGGGTGGTTGCCACTTCGTGCGAGGGCATGCCATGCAGGACCCAGACTTCTGGAGACGACAAATGATGCCCCTCACTCAGACCATCCAGCCCAAGCAACCGACGATGACCTATCAGCCCCATGACACTACTCAACTGAGCCACGTCAACCCCTTGTGAGAGCCGTATGTGCAGAAATGGCCGAGCAGCGCACCGCGGGGTTCATAACAGGCCATCGCGACCACGATGCAGCGCGTCGACCCGATCGCATCGGTTCGCTGGCAGAAAAAGTTCGTCGTCCTAGCCTTCAACTCGTCCCTAGCGGCGGATCGCGCTTGATGTCAGGCGAGCATAGCAGCATAGCGATGCACGGTCCCCTCCGAGAAACGTGACCACCGAAGCAGGATGACTACTATATTCACGCACTCGTGCATGATGCACGAGAGACAAGTTAGATACAACAAAGATTATGGGGTCCTTACTGTATGCAAGCCGTCATAAGTTACAGCCCTGGATTCGAGTCCAGAGGCCCCGCCTCCGCGCCCGCAGCCGCTCACTCTACGTCGATCCGGAAGCTCGTTACCTGCGGTAGATACGCCGCGCCCGCCAGGTCGAGCAGGTGCACGTCGTCGTAGACTACGTTCCCGTTGAACCCGCCAAAGATGAAGAGCCGGCTGTCGGCGAGGAATGAGACGTGGTACCCCCGAGGCGCAGGCGGCTTCCCTGCAATCTGACGTGGCTCGTAATTCAGAGAAACTAGTCAAAAGTGTCAATACGCCGCATCAAAATCAAAACTACGGCACGGAACCTACCCAGGTTGAACAGCAGTAGCTCTGACGTGTATTGGCTTCCATCGTGGCCACCCATGATGAACAGATATGACCCAACCTGCGTCGCAGTATGCGACAACCGTCGGTATGAAATGTCCAGCTTGACCTGACTCCAGACCAGTGTGTCTACCGACCGGCCGTCAGGTTTTCCGACACGTCCGACAGCACGAGTGAATCACACACCCAAATTGAGGCACCACACATCCGAAAAGCACTCCCTCCCATCACTGCCACCTACTACTACCATCACGCTGCCTACGAGGTTGGCCGTATGGTAGCCGCGGGGTGTTGGCGGCTTGCCTCGCGTCTCCATCATCTCCCACCGCATCTTATCTGTAGGAACACTGACATCCAACGTCCACACATCGTTGAGCGCCTCCATTCCGTTCCCGCCGCCGAATACCCATACTTTATGCTTGTAAAAGACAGCCGTATGTGCACGGCGGGGTGGGGGTATGGGCGAGCCTTCGGGGAATACGAGGTGTGTCCAGCGCCGTAGGGTCGTGTCGAGGAGGTAGGCGTCGTTGTAGTACACCGGCCCTTCCCCACCACCAAAAACGACAATGCGGCGGTCCGTCAGCGTCGCCGTGTGCGCACGGCATGGCGGAGGGATTTCGCCGAGGACCTCGGGGTGCGCCCACTGCATCGTTTCTGTATTTCACTTCATCCAATCAGCACCCGAGGTTAGTGGGCCAGGGGACGCACCTGTGTTGAAGTGGTAGATATCCCGCCAGCATCCCTTATCGTCACATCCGCCAAACATCCAAGCAGTCGTATCGACCATTGTCACGCTGTGTGCTCGAAGGCCGTGTGGCGGCAACAGGCCGTACACTGGCGCGCGGCTCCAGTACATCAAGGTCGCAGGTGCGACCTCGGCGTCCTTCGCGTGCGGCAGGTGGGGTGTATTCCGTATGCGCTGGGCTGGCTGCCCATTGGTCGACGCTGCCTTAGGGCCTTTGCCTGTTCTCTCGCGCTCACGATCCCGGTCCCCGTCCTGCTCATTTTCTTTGTCCTTTTCCTTGCCCTTCTCCTTCTCCTTGTCTCTGTCCTTCTCTCTATCCCTACTATCCCGGTCCCGATCCTTCTCCTTGAGAGTCGACGGCGAGCCGGGGCGCGTTCGTGTCCCGGAGGGAGTCCGGCCTATCGCTGAACTTATGCTTACCTCGCTTATAGACCGTGGGGCAGGACGGGCGATGGAGGGCACGGGGGTCCGCGGGCCTGCGGGTGGCCGAGGTGGTGAGGTGATGGAGGTGATGGAGGTGCTAGCAAGGCTACTCGAGCTCGCCGACGCTTTAAAAGTTGAGGTGGAGCCGGAAAGGGCTGCATGGAAGTAAGGCGAGCGCGGACTGGCGCGTCCCGTTACACCGGGAGCGTTCTCCTCAGGGACGTCGCTCAGCATGCCCACTCTCGGTGAGTCGACGGCGAACTTGGCATCGTGTGGGGGCATCGGAAGCGGTATCGGTTGTCAGTGGTCACCGCTGGCGGTAGGTTATCCAGAGTTTTCAAGGGCAGTGAATAAGTAGGGACTGTGTCGAGGACTGTTCCGAAATAGAGAAAGCCACGAGCTGGAAACAGATCTTTAGGGCGCAATTGTCGAGCACTGAGATACAGACACGAGTCTCTGGAGGAGAGGGAGAAAGGAAGGTAGAGCGGTCCTCGTCGGGGGCGGCAGCTCGAAAGTAGGGATCCGCTCGCCTCGAGGCTGTATGCCGACAACGGCGGTCCCGGCAGTTGCCGATACCGTATCCAGTAAGTGCCGACTCCGCTCGCCAGCACGATGAGGACCACCGGAGCTGGGGCTTGCTCGTCAGTCTACGCAGATATCTACACTTGTCGTACTGCAAATATCAATTTCAGCTGTATGCCAGGAGCTCACTGCGTGCCGTACTCTCTTGAGTTTGTTAGGACACAAATGGTACGGTATAGGATCTGTGTGGAGTCAGTATGTGGGCTATTCATTCTCTGAGTCAACGAGCCTGCTACATTTGTGCAGCTGTTCGCATATATCAACGACCCCAATGATGGTGTCTTGTTGATGATGTGATACGATGCCAATTGTCTTTTTTTTTTTTCAGTTCTTCCTTCAGATTTTTTTCTTCTCCCACTTAATCTCACCGATCGTTGCTTCGTGGACGGTCTCGTTCTCTCAAACGCTGACACTGTGCAGCAAGAGCATTTTCCCGGTGACTTTCTTCGGCCTCGTGGGACGCATACAGGTCGGACACTGGTGAATGTGGCGTGAGGATACTGAAACCATGACTCGGAGAAAAGACGGGGAAAGCTGTCTATCAGCGCTCGAGCGCCAAACGTCCTTGTCTTATTTTGCCTTGCCTTTCCCCTCTATCAGCTCAACGTTCCCCATGGCCGTCAATCGCGCTCTGGAATGCTACGACATTCTTGCAGAGATATTCTCTCATATTAACGCAGATTATCACCATCAGGCTCCCGTCGTCCCTCCCGACACCACAGCCATTCTCAAAAAGGACCTCGTAAGCCTAGCATGCGTTAACAGAGCATTCTCGTCCCATGCCCTGGACATCCTCTGGCAGAAAATCCCGTCAGAACGCGTAGCTCTCAGCGTTCTCCCCACCTTCAGAGCTGTCTCCGTTATCAAATTCATCCCGAGCGATGTCGCGAGTTTGATCGCATACTACGAAAGTCTCAAAGAAGATGACCGCGAATGGCAATACACTATTGACGGCGAAATATGCCCCCACGAGCTGGAACGTCTTCGCCAGTATACGATCCGTGTACGCGAGGTAGAGTGGATGTTGGGGGAAGAACGGCCGGGCATCCGCGCCCCGATTATCCGACTCGTTGCCGAACGACTCGGTAGTCCTCTGTTCCCAAACCTCTCGCAGTTGATGTGGGACGGATCCGACGTATTGTCTTCGACTGGAGATGTGGGCTCTGTCTTGCCGGCCACAGCTGGTACAAATCTCCATAACCTCACTGTGCAATTGCCCAAGTGGTCTGAGGTTGACGAAATCGAACAGGAACTGACAGTTATCACTACCTGGTTTCCCTACATCCAAGAGCTCAATCTGCGTATGTCTGGGTGGGATTCAGAGTCCCCGTCTTGGAATCCTGTTGTTGTTGCTTCGCTTATTGCTGCGCTCAGGCATCTCGATACAGTCGAACTCGACATTGATCACCTCGACGATGAGCTTATAGATGCGCTCGCGGCGTTGCCCCACTTAACATCTGTCTTACTCGACACATATCAGGGTAGCCACCGTGCTCCATTACGTGGCTCATACAGATGCTTCCGTGCACTACGAACATTGGATATCACCGTGAAAGTGTGCAGCGAAGCGGAGACTCTTTTTCAAGCATGCAAATGGCCCGCACTCGAAGATCTACGGATACGTATCCATGATGACATCCATCCTGGCTGGGCATCAACATTTTTTGAACTTGTGGCTGCCACCTTTTCCAAAGTGCCGCTCCGCACTTTGATCATGTCAGGCAGTTATCCGAGGAGTTCTATTCCCATGGCACATGTTTTCTCACCCTTTGGGTCCCTGTGTCTTCTGCGCTCCATTGTGCTGCACGTCTACTCAAAGGCCACGTTCATTGGACTACGCGAGGTTGCCCGTCACTGGCCGGAGTTGGTAGACTTCAGGCTTGGGCGGCACAGTCCACGCGAATCGCTGCAGATCCTGCTCGAGGTTGTGTCTGTGTGTCCCCTTCTGCGCAGCGCGCATTTTGATAACTTGATGCTGCCTACGTCCGACTTGAATCTTCATGGCCTATCGTCACACGACTTACGAGAAGTGGTCTTCGACAGATCGGGGTCCCAATCCTCGAGCGAGGAGATCGGGCGACTCGCTGTCGTGCTAGAGTCCGTGTTTCCAAACTTGAATGTACAAGCTCACCTGGAGGAATCGCTAGGCAGACAACAAAAGGGCATGTGGCCGATGCTGCTTGAGGAGATGGATCGCATACGACAGGAGAAGAACTCGTGCGATCAACCAATACCGTAATATGTGAGCATCATCCGTCCCCACTGCAGGCCGTCTTGTCTCTAAACCATTTTCCATAGTTGAGCATTCACGCTCGACGAAGATGCGCGGGGCTCGGGGGAACCGCTCACATATTTCCTGATCTTGATCAGCTCCGATCATCCCAGGCGCGCTGAAAAGCTTTCAGAGCGCGAGAGCGTTGCTACTTGGACGCCGCTGGCTTTGCTAGTCCAGATACACTCCAAGTCGATGCTTATCTCAACGACCACAACTATGCGGTCCATCCCCTTGATCCTCGTCTGCGGCTACTGCAACCTTAGACTTGGAGCTGTTCCTGACACTCCTGGCTATGATAAGGTAACTCATTTGTTGAATCCCAGTGCTCGTAACCTCAAGCAGAGATGCTCTGATGTGATCCTTATTTTGCATTTCTGGCCTGATATGATGCGACTCCGTATGGGGAGAAAGACAGTGAGGTGCACGAACTGACGTGGTTCCCCTTGTCCATTGCACCGTGCGCAGAGTTCAGTGATACGCCCATCTGGGCCAAACCTAGGCCATGCAAGGTTTCTATCCCGCTTGAGGGAATCGCTGTGCCTGCTTTCGCTGTGGCAGGCTCATAATCAGGAGTCAAGCAAGAAAGCAGAAAAAACCTGCACATTGGGCGACGGTTTCGAGTCTGGTGGCTCTAGCCGGGACTTCTCATGATAGATGAAACTCTGTGCTGCGCTCCACGTCTGACTGGTCTCCTATAAGCAGGATAGATATTTTCTTCAACCTTCGCTCTTGCAGGCTTCGGATATCCGTATCTATGGCATCTGACGCTGAGATGGAAGTCGCTGTCGTGAGAGAAGATATTTAGTCATGGGCGTATCCTGGGCGTTGCTGGCCAAGTTCCAACGCCCATGGCTTCCAGTCCGGCGGCCGGCCAGTGTGGCTGGCTGTGTTCAGGTGTGGACACCCTTCGAATTAAAGCCATGCCGATAAGAGCGAAGTCGGCCGCGGCCTATTCAAGCGCAGAAAGTATGTACGATGCTCAACGCCCAGTCTTTAAGCAGCCCCTGTATATAGATGTATTGTGAAAATCACGGTGGATGCGACCGGATATGTGCACACCGGTGCACTTGCAGCAGCTGAAAAACATGAGCTTCGGGGATCGTTGATCGAGCCTCGGGCTTATAAATTCTGGCAAAGAGGACAGGCGTATAAAAGTCCAAGTGAGGCGTCCGGATAATACCTTTCGACCCGCCCCCGCTGTGCTCGTCCGCGACCAAATATCTGTTCCAGAGACCGTCCGCGTCGTAGGTTTCGCCGCATCTGACTACAATCAGGGCCTTCAAACAGATCCCTGTGGCGACGCGGCCGACGCTGATCTGGAGTGCGTGCGTGCGAACGCTGTATATTGCGATCTGAAGGCATTGACATTCTTCCCGACACCCGCAGGTTCGAGCAGCCGTGTGCCAAGAAACGAGGCATGGTGTTTGGAATCAGGATGGGATGGCCGACCCTCGTGTACGGTGCCACCGCGCGGGGTGGGCGATATGAACTCTACACAAATCACGATGGCAATACCACTGCTGGAGCCTAGAAGGCAAGTCTTGCGCCTTCGCTAGGCACCAAGCTCGGCCGCTGGTCATCCCGGCCGCCTGTGAGAACAGTGGGATGAATAGAAGAGTTGTGTTCTCCCCAATTGATACCTTGTGGCTGTCTCGGATCACATGTAGTCTGTCCGCGTGCCTTACTCGCGGCGGCAATCGCTTCCCATTGCCCTGGGCCTCTCTTCGTCGTGCCATCAGTCTTGGGCGGTGCATAATCAGCCTCCGAGCTCTACATGTCGGAAAATCGTACGTGCGTCTCGCCGCCCGTATAAAAGCATCCTCCGCGCCAGCTGTCTCCTCGGCTCTCTCCCACCTTTCTACTCACAGCGACCTCGCATCCTCTCAAAAATGCAAGCCGAAAAGACCTCTCACATTGTCTATCTTGCCGACGTTGCTCCTCGGTCAAAATTCATGGCGAGCTGGGAAAGGTTCCGGCACGGCAAGGGTCGCTGGCTTGTTCAATTCCTCGCTGAGGCGGTCAGTCGGCCTGAGTCCGCTAGCATCGACTCTAGCAATCTGCCTGTGCATTGACACTGACTGTTCTGGGGCGTAGATGGCTACATTCCTTTACACTTTTGCCGGCGCTGGTTCTACAGCCGCCTGGATCCTAGGCAACATTCTGGCTATTCCCGCTCTCGGTAGTACGTGGTGGCGCATGACCCGGGAAGTGATTAGTGGAACTGACTCGGATTTGGCTTGCAGGCTTGCTCCAAATTGGTGTTGCGTACGCAGTTGGAATCGTCTTGGCGCTGACCGTCTGCCTGGTAAGGCGCTTTCCCCCTGCGGTTGTTACCCGCCTTGGCTAACGTATTCCCGCGCAGCCGACCTCACAAGGGCATGCAAACCCTGCTTTCACGATCTACGCCATGGCTCGAGGCCACTGCACTCCGCTTCGGGGCCTCATGTGAGTGCGCCACACTTCGTGCTGCTTCCGAGTCGGAGGCGCTAAGCCTCAATTCGCAGGCTCATTGTCGCTCAAATTCTGGGAGCCTACATCGCTTGTCTCCTGATATACGGGCAATACTACGACTTCATCAAGGTTAGCTATTTCCCAAAGTCTCAGGATTTTAACTCAACCGCGCCGTAACCGAACAATAGGAAGCCATTGCTGCACTCGAATCGAAAGGCTTGTACGACGAGGTGATGTTCACTTCGCAGGGCCCCGGAGGCATCTTTGGCTTGTACACAACGCCCGGAGACAATCTCGGCAACATCTTCCTGAACGAGTTCGTCTGTGTGCGTTGCCGTCACGCTCCAGATCTGTGAGTTCTACTCACCTAGTTACCGCCCTTCAGGACTTCGTCCTTGCCGTGTGCATTCTCGCCTCCATCGAGCCCACCAACACCCACACGCCTCCCGCGATGGCTCCATGGACCATCGGCTTCATCTAGTACGTCGCAGATCTGCACCGCCTCGCTGATACTGATCACTTCCCGCGCAGCGCGATTGTCATCTGGGGCTATGCTCCCGCTGCTCTTGCTGCAAACTCTGCGCGCGACGTCGGCGGCCGTCTTGCCGCGCTCACGTTCTGGGGCCTCCCTGCGTCTGGCGGGCGATACGCTGCGATCGCTGCGCTCACGAACATCCCTGCGACCTTCGCCGGCGGTCTCTTCTACGAGTTCGTCCTGAACGACTCCAGCCGACGTAAGCGTTGCCCTCCTTGCAGCTCGATTTACGCTGACGCCTTTACCGCAAACGTTTAGCGATCACCCCCGCACACGCGGAGTCTGCTGCATGCAACAAGGCCTATGAGGAACACGCCAAGGGCAACGTCTCCTCGTCGGACTCGATCGACTACCCCGACTCTGAGGCGCTGCCAAAGTAAAATATTCTAGTATTGATGCGACTCCCTCGAGGATCTCACTTGCTCACGAGCACGCGACGAGATGGCGATTCATGATGGATATGGTCTGATATGAGTTCACGGCGTAGACCTGGGGCTTGACGACCAATAGATGATGCATTTGGGATCTGGATAGGATTTCGGTTCGTTATACGGTATATTATTCATGTTGTTACCATAGTCACTCGTGATATACCCGCTTCAAGCATCTCAAACTGTGCGATATGATTCTGACTCTGAGTGTGTATGGTTGATCGCCCTCTGAACTTCAATTTCTGCATTTGATCATCAGCAAATCATCATAAAACGGGTTCGACAAATTCGGGAGCAAGCAGAGTCTGATGTCGGCCCAGACGCGCTGCGAGGCGGGGCTCTGCGAGATCTGAAGCCGCGTACGCAGGGGCTGTGAAATTGTAGATACACATCAATAATTATGGCGATCTACTTGGCATTGCCTCGTCATGCGCGACGCGACTCGCGGGCCCCGGGATCGGGACGCAGAAAGGCATCAATCTTGGGCTTGAATCTCGACGCATCCACCCAATTCATGATTCATGAACGTCGCCCCCGGCGCAAACCACCGATCATGTTTCAACGAGAGTCAGGTTGATAATGTCACAGTAGGCGAGACATATTGTTGTGAGGAGTACGGTGGTAGCTCAGGAAATGATTATCCCGTACCTTGGCGATGCTGAGAAATCTTGGCTTAGAATACCGTGGTCAGATAGTCTCAGCCTGAGAGACGGTCTTCGCACTGGCAGCATTACACCGCCCCAGTTTGTATCTCGTTGTTCAACGTGGAATATCGATGGCTTGATCGCGGATTCCATCAAAAACCCGTTCTTGAGATACGAAATTTGAGACCAGAGATGCTACAGTGAAACGCAAAGTTATTTGTAGCCCGAGGGTCAAAATCTCATAGATTCAGTGATCGACGCTTCAGGCTGAGTTGGGGCGCAAGTGATGGCACTGGGACAAAGTCCAGCCTTGACAACAGATTGATATATGAAGTTTTCAAGAGAAGAGCATCAAGTGCAGCGCAAACAGCGGGTGATACAAGAGGTTCAACTGTTCCAGACAGGCACCGCCTAAAAGCCATATTGAGAGGACCTCGAGCTAATTTGGGACTGGGTGAACAGGTTTTTGTAGCTGGAGGTTCTAAGTCTCAGTGCGCACCAAAGTTACAAGTTGAACATCGCCATCGAGACTTGATCGAGACCCGGACAATAAAGTTTCGTCTTGCCTCGTCAAACCATGTCGCAATTATTAACATGCGCATGTACCTGGGCTGGGCTTCTGGACAACCGATTGTCACATATAAGTACATCCTCCAGGAGCACCTTGTATGCTTTCAAGTTTCTTTATGCATATGCAGCAATCGCTGTATGAATTGGGAGCAGCCTTGCACCACCCTAGGCGTGTGGCTAGATCTGAGATCTATACAAGTTTAGCGCCGGTGAACGTTCCTTTGTCTGGTTCTGAGAGAATGACCTTCGTTCCGCTCTCCTACCTCCATCCTACAACACCCACCTCCCTCAGGCTCTGAAACTTTCTTCTCGATGCAGACCCAAAGCGAACACGGGGCGCAGCATTCAGATCCCAGACCGCTCTCGAGAATTGCGCGCCTGTGTCGTTTCCTATCAACGCCGAGCGCTGCATCGGCGAGTCGCGAGACTTTGTCGGATGAGACATTTGCACAAATCAGAGGTGCGGAAGTATATTAGACATCTCAGATGTAGACTCTCGAGCTCACCGCTATCATGGTTGTCCACTAGACCCGATCATACAGCTACAACGAGCGCTCGCGTCTTTCGTCGCCGAGATGAGGCACCTTGAGGAAGAGTATATTATACTCAAGGGAATACTAACGTCGCTGCAGGTGAACAGGTACGATGCAGGAGGGGTGGACCCACAGCTGATCCAGACATTCGATCGCCTGAGCACGAAGCTGGAGGGACTGCGCATGGTACAGGGATTGGGTCTGGATTTCCTCCACACTATGACGAACGAACGCATGGCGGGCACCCTGGCGCGTTCTCGGCAGCTGTACGAACTGGAGCGCCGGGATCATTAACAATCGCTCTTCTGGTCTCTGCAAATCATCCGACTGGGTATCGTGATTTGACAATCGGCATCACTTATTTTGTCTGCGCTAATTTCTATATGCAAATGGTCGAGATGCTCCCATGATTGCTGCGTTTGCTTGTTACTGATTTACATTGTCCTGTATATATCTAAATCGGGCTTTCAATGGATGAACTCTATCAAACGTGACGTTGTTCTCGAAAGACGTACAGCCTGTTTTCAACACGACAACGATAGTGCTCACAACGTACCCTCACTCGCCTGCACTGTCACAATGGCTAGGCTGCTCGTTGCTATACGTCCGTATGTATTGCTTCTGCCTCGTTTGTGTTATGGCAAGCCGTGGTCTACTGGTATCAAAGCTGCATTTTCGGCCAAGTTGTCTAACCTGTGCCAGCGAAAGCACGATCGATTCTATTTCGACGATGGTACTGTTGTGTTTTTGGTGAGTCCTCTTACACGGTTCAGCGGTGAGTAGAATACGGTGATATTGCCCGCGAACGGCAACCAGGTGGAAGATGTGCTGTTCAAGGTGCATCGTTACTTCTTGGAGCACAAGTCGGAAGTATTCCAAACGATGTTCATGCTGTGTCCTCCGGAGGGCCAGGAAGTGGAGGGAGAATCTGCGGGTCGCCCTATTATTCTCGAAGATACGAGGGCTATCGACTTTGAGAGATTCCTCACGATATTCTACCCTAGGTATGATTGCCCAGATATAAAGTCTTTGATTATGACCAGCTCATCACGGGCTACCAGGGATGTTCAATATCATGACCTGAGCACATTCGACGAATGGGCATCAGTGGCCGAGTTCGCTTCGAAGTGGCTATTTACAGATATCCGCGGCCTGGCCATCGAGCGCGCGACCGCTGTAGGAACCCTGGCGGAGAAGATCGTCATGGCACGCCGATACAACCTGCTAGAGCTTCTCTGCGAGGCGCGCCGCGAGATCCGCGAAAGGCCGCAGCCACTCACCCTCGAGGAGGGCCGACTGCTGGGAGTAGACGAGGTTATCATTTTATCTGGATTTCAACATCACAACCATACATCGGGCTTTGGTGTGCGGAAATACACACCAGCAGATTGAAGTCGACCGCCTCAATGAGGCATTCCGCGCGTTGGAGGGATAAGCAGATTAGGGAGAGACGTGTTGACGAGACGACCTGACTCTTTGAATGCTTCAGCTGGTGATTCAAATTGTTTCGATCGATACAGGAGAAATAGAGAAGCAGGAGTCTTACAAGTCGACACAATATGTAGTATGTTAGCTAAGCCATGCTGTACGAATCTACAGTGCAGTATCAGCACGAAGAGATAGCTACTACGGTAGAATGTGGGGTAGTTTATGAGCCTGTCCTGAATCGCTGTGTAGAACGCTGTGACTTTGTTATGGCGTTTGGTTTGCTGTTGGTTGACTGGCGCATTCATTTCGAGCGGAGGAGGAGGAGGAGGAGGAAAGACCGTGTAAGTAAAAGCGGAGTCCGCATTGTAAGCGTCGCAATGAAGTCTCGACCCCAGTCAACGCCCTAATGTTAAGCCAAGTATTAGAAAAGAATAGTAGATGCTATTTTTAGCACGTACCCGTTCGTTTCTGTTCGTGTGCTTTCGCCGCTTCGGCATCGACAATATGAAGCTCGCTCTTCGTGGGTACTTGTGCACTTCTCATCGCAACCTCCACGACGCCTGCTTGGTGGCAAGCGCTGCGTTGACTATAGTCCTCCACTTAGGGCGTCTCGATTCAGAGTGCTGTCATTGACCGCAGCGCCAGCCATGTTCTCAGGTGATTGCACTCAGAGACCGTGGATCTTCTCATGATTGCTCACTTTGATGCTACTCTACCATCGTGATCTCGTCCGATGCTAGACCTCAAGGACAGGGCCGCCAAAGCCAAAGACTATGGTGTGAACAAAGTCTCCACCACGCGAGATCGGATGAAGAGCCAGCCCAGTAAGAACATAAACTGGCACGCCGACCCGAAAGCTCCTCCCCCCGTCTCACACGTACGTCAGCAGAAGGCATACGTTCCTCCTCCCCCACCATCTAGAACTTCGTCGAGTGCAAATCATGCCCGAAGTCAGAGCGAGACGCCGTCAAGCAGTGTGCCTCGACCGTCGCCTGCTGCGGCAGCCTCGCCTCCACCACGAATTAACAGAGCAACCAAGCCTGACTCCGCAACTCCTTCTCCTCCCATCTCTACTCCACCACCACCG